ACTCCATCAAAAGTTATTCAAGGTTAAATTTAAAGTCAAAATGAATAACTTTTGATTGAGTGAATTTAGCCAAAAATATTGAGAGGCTTTTTTTGTAAAGCATTTGATTTCCCATAAGAATATTTATCGGTTTTTTATGGGTACTGATTTTTACATGAATTACAAAATTCCAATTTAAAAGATCAATCCCAATTTTTAAGGCATGATTTTAAGGAACGGTTCATCTGACGGAAAATTTCACTTTAACCTTTTTTGTAGAGCATTTAATTTTCTTAAAAAAATATTTTTGAGTCAATTTTGTTAAACTTAATGGTTTGGGAGTTCTGAGACAAAAAAAAATTAAAATTGAGATGATAGACCTCTTAATATTAATATTTTGGACTCAAACTTTCGCAATAATTTTTTTTTGTTACCCCAAACCATATTTTTGATATACTTTTCAAAAAAAAATGGTTGATTTTTTTGGCCCAGTCTAGTAACCATCACCCTCCTTTTTCTTTGTATAATGGCCACCATAACTTATGTAGTTTGTTACATTGTATTCCTTGATTTTTTTCTATCTAACCATCTTAAATCCCAATATGGCGATCATAGGAAAACAAAAGGGTGGTTGTAACTCCAAATCTAGTAGTTTTTTTTCGAATAAAATCACAAATTGGATAAAATAAGTGGATAAATGTGTATGGTAACATGTGAAACTTTTTATATTTACAATTTTTAAATGCAATTTTAATGGACTTCTCTAATTTAACGGGTAGTGTAGCTCTTCTAATAAAAAACTTATACATAGAAGAATACTAGGTGCACCTTGTACTTTTTAAACTCTCATTAAACAAAATACAAAAAATAATATTTTTGTAAAGACTAAAAAAAATCAAAGTTGCCATATTCAGTCACCCCGTATGTCTAGTTTTTTTTTTTAATATTTTAGCGAATAATATTTATATATAATTGTTGTATGATGAGATTAGTACCAGACCTGTGTACTTTTAATGTCCAGAGTCCAGAGTACATTTTAAAAAATGTGCTATATCTAATATACATATTATGTAGGTACTAAAATATCACGGTTGTATTTAATTAATTACTTGTTACCTAAACTATAAAGGTGCACCCATGTAGAATTTAAAAATGGGCCAAACTTGGCTTTTCTTACTTTTTGTTAACAAAAGACATAATTTTTGTTTTTAATTTGAAATAAATATTTAATAAAATTATACCTAATTAAAACTTTTGGGGGAAAACCTTTCCATTGTTTAGATTTTTACAATTTTTAGGTATGTGAAATGTAAATATAGACAACGTATATTTAAATATTTATATCAGTTCATGGATTAAAATTGTTTAACGGTGTGCTCATCAAAACGTACTTACATAATTTTTGGAGTTTTTGAAGAAAATAACATTCCACAATTGTCACGATATTTGTTTATGCAAAAACGAATATTTATTAAAAATGGCCATTACCTCCTTGTTCTAATCACGTTACTACCTATATGTGCATTATACAGCTATTTTAATAAAAATATTCTCATAAAAAATTGAATTGTTTGTAAAAAAGATTTCCCAATAAATTCCAAAATATTTCACAACTCAGTAATAAAATTGGCAGCATTGACTAGCGTAAAGCGTTGGGTAAAACCATAAAAAACAATACAATAATTAAACTAAAAATGTATTAAAATATGTGCTCTGACTAATCAATCGCATTCCTATCGATTAAATTTTTTTAAATGTATTTATAGATCCTAATTATTAAAAAAATATCCAAAATATATGCGCAAATCCTGTTTATTATTAATTGCAATTGTTTATGACATTTTACACTGCCATTTATTTATTTTTAAGTATTGTTCATCTAGACATTTTTGATTATTTAAATTATTTAAATAACCATGTTAAACTTGTAATTTATTACAACAAAATATAAATATCGAAATAAATTCTTGTGTTATTAATAAAAATTGGACAGCAAATTAATTATGAAACACTTTGTTAAAAAAAGGGGATAGGTATTAAAATATTTTTATTATACGTACCTACATACATATATGTATGTACGTCCTGATATTTTTTTATTATTTTGTATTTTTTATTTCATTTCACATATAAGGTGAACCAAATAATATATAGGGAAAATTGAAAATGTTTCAAATTTAATATAAGCTCTTTCTCTAAATAATTCCTATATTTTAAACAGGAATTATAAAAAAATATATACTTTCCATTGCTTTTTTGAAATTTTAACGTATTTAGGAGTTAATTTTTTAACGTTTTGGTTATAAATAACCCTGGGTTACATTATATTGGCTGGTTAAATTATAGTTTTTGCAGGTTTTTTTATGATTTTATAATACAGGGTGTTAATTTTTTACAATAAATTAAACAAGCGATTCTTTGAGTGATTTTAGGACAAAAAGTTCATATAAACAATGCTTTGTTTTTTTTTAATTGGTTTTACGTAATAAATATATTAAATATCCTTTACCCAATTTTTTTTGTAATTTGTCAGTGTTATTTGTAGTATTAAGGGACTATAATTTAGCTCTATCTTGATTAAATTCATTAAGTACAGTGGCGTCCCGAGACGCACCTTTACGAATATTTTTGACAACAAAATTTACGCCACTTACTTTTATGTAATTTTAATTTTATTTTAGATTAAGCAACTAAAAGCTTCTAAATCTTGTTCGTTTCTTGCTTAGTTGCGAGAAAAAAATAAAATCCACTCAATTGCATATCCAAGATATGCTCGTAAGTAGATTTAATTTTTTTTTCTTGAAAACTAAGCAAAATAAGGACAAAATTCCAGAGACAAAAAAGTTGTATTTAATGCTTAATCTGAAAATAAATATATATATAAAATTTACAAAAATGTTTTTTTGTTTAACACCCTGTATCTTGAAAACAAAGCAATTGCGGACTCATATACCTAGGGGACATCCATTAATTACGTGAGGCAGTTTTCTGATAATTTGGACCCCTCCCTCCCACTTGGTGAGATGTGGTAGACCCCCCCTATCCCTCACGTGAGATTCTAGCCATTATCTTTTATTGCGGACAACATGATAAACCCAAAAAAACTTGATTACTTTTTTTTTTGACAAATTTGAATTATAATACTTATATTCCTTGAACCCAAAAGTTGACGTGAGATTTTAAATGACCCCCCCTCCCTTAGCATGAGATTTGGTGAGATTTTGCTAGACCCCTCCCCCCCTATTTTTATCTCACGTAATTAATGGATGTCCCCCTATGAACTTTTTGTCTTAAAATCACACAAAGAATTGGCTTTTAAATTAATTGTACTTACTTAAGTAACTTAGTAGATATTTTAGACATGAACCTATAACTTAGGGTTATTAATGCACAAAGACATGTCTTATGTCTTAAGATGAAAACAATAGTTCAATAAATAATAGTTATTTATGTCATCAGGACAAAAAAAGTCTTTTATTCTGACCCAAAAGTTTGAGCAAAGGACAAAGACCTTTTGAGCCGAATCGCATTTTATCTTTAAAGCCAATTTTGTTCATTAAGGTGGTATCTCCATTTAAATAGTTTCATAAATAAATAACAGTAGGTCGTGACAACAACATATTTTACTAGCATTTTATCAAATCGTCATTTCAGTTTTTAACAATCACAAAAATTTGACAATTTTGCCATTATAACAACAAATTACCAATTTATATTGGTACTTTTTATGTTGTTTTTATAAATACACAGTATACAGTACTGTAATATTTAATTTCCAAGTCATCAACATGATCCTCTTTTTTTGCTCGAGTTTAGAAACGAATTTTTGGAAGAATCTATAAAAAATATTATTTGTGCAAAGGTGTATTTTCCACATATTTTTCATCCCTGTTGAAAATACATAAATAAGTATCTCGGTTTTTGTATAAAGCAAAAATATGTTAACCTTCATTACTTAATATTGTAACGAGATACCCCTTTGCATTTTTGGGCATAACTTAGTGACACGATCTGGCTAAAATTTTAAGAAATTTAAGATTTAAAAATTTGTAAAAAATATTATTTGAAAAGCGCACAGTTAAAGTGTTCAAGATAATATAAAGAATGTTAATTAACTTTTTTAAACTAATACCAAATATTACATTTTGAAAAACCCGACATTTTTTTCATTGTAACTTTTTGTGAAACTAGCCCGTAAACATTTCAAATATATAAAACCATCAAAGCAAAATTTTAGTTGCTCATACATAATAATAATATTAATTAAACAATTGCACTTCCGAAATTTTACAGGTGTTTGCAACCCCCTACAGTGTCATAAAGTACAGGAAAGGTTGTTTTTACCTGATTTATGCTCCTGTTTCTACGAATCCATAAAACGGACCAAAATAAATAAAAAAATAACACAAATAAGAAAGGCAAAGGCCAATAGTTTTATATAATAAAAACAATACCAACTAATGGTAACGTACAATTAAGTTTTTGTTATAGATTTATCTCATTTTAATTATAAGTATGTATGTTCACTAGCCTACACATAGATGGTTTTAACACTTTAAATACTATGATTTATCTTTAAATCTTCAAAGTAATAAATATTTTTTAACTACATTATGAACGGTAAATTAACGTATAACGTATCATGGCGTTAAAAATTATTTAAAATTTATCTTCACAAAATAAAAAATCCACTGAAAAGATTCTTACAAAATTTTGTTGTAATCTATTATTATAACTTAAAGTTAAAATTTAAGTAGTCATTGGGTAAGTCTAACAAAGTGTTATTTATGATTGAATTGTTATTTTAAAATTTTTGTGAATTTTTAAAAACAAATAATAAAATGTTTTTGGACTAAAATTTTCGAAAATACCAATTGGGTTTTATTTTTTTGTACGGCTTAATTTTTTCTCTCATTTATTTAGTTAGCAATTTCTTTTCAGAATTTCAGAAACAATTCAGACAACAAATACAATTATTCAAAAAGTGTTTTCTTAATAATAAACAATAATATGTATCTTACCTTTTAAAGAGTTTACACGTGTTTCTTGTTCTGTAAAAAAAATCCATATATTAGCATACATAACCTACATAGTTAATAAAGATAAATAAAGCTATAATACTATGTGTAACATTATTTTGAAAGATTGCCCTCTAAACATTTAAATATGGGTAGTTTCGGTGATACTTATTTTGATAATAATAATAATTATGACCACATATATAACTTAACAATGGTAACGTCTTCAATAAATAGTCGTAAAAGACACAAACCATATACTTTGGAATACGTATAGGTATATTATATACCGTATATAGGTATGTGTACATATACATACCTATAGGTAAAGAACAACCGAATGGCGCTAGCAAGAAGAAGTTATTTGACCACCCGGCAGAGGTTCTCATAAAAGGTTTCTTGGAAATTCAGCTCATATTTATGTATACAGACCATAATGTTTTTAAATTTATTTTTCAAATTAGTTTTCTGATACCGATATTTCAATATTAAAATTGGAATTTTTATGCTTTGGGTGAAATAAATAAATATAATCATAAAATACCTGCAATAATTTAATTATTGTCACACCTAAGAAGATAAGTTTGACACCTATTTGTAAAGGTTAGGTACTTAACAGTTATTATCCGAAAGAAGCATTAACAGTTTCCGGTTGAAATAAAAGTTCAGGGTTTGTAAAAATAATTTAAAGATACCTACAATCAAAGCCGGCTTTAGCAAAAATGAATACTTAAAAAAACTTTTTTTAAAATATTTTTTTATTAAAAATTAAATAAAAGAACCGTCTATGACCAAAGGATTCTTATAGAATTTTCGTCATCAGAATTAATTGTTGTTAGTTTTACAATACTGGAACTTGTGGATACATAAGCAAACTGTTTGTGTCCACCAAGTTTGCAATTTATAATATATTATTAGGTACCCATACAGGGTAAGTTGGGAAAAAGTGAAAAATTTTAAGGGAATATTCTACGCTAAATGTTGCTATCCGATTTTTTATTTTTTTCGAAAAAATTGGGTTTGAAAAAATGCCTATTTACCAGTTATTGAATACAATAATTTACACAAAATTCTAACTTTGCTTTTTTTGTAATATCAAGCAACACTTTGACAGGTGTTAAGTGAGATAGATGAATTTTCGAAAACAATAAAAATCGAAAAAAAAAATTTAATTTTTTTCTCATTGTTTTTATTTTTAGGATATACATATACCCTTAAAATTTTTCACTGGGTTTTAAAAAAATTGGATGACAACTTTATTGAAAAATTAAAAAGAATTTGGAACCTGGCAACGTGGCTTTTTAACGTTTTCTACGTGATATGTCACCTGTTATCTGTCAACTTGACACCTGTTAAAGTTTTGCTCGATATTATAAAAAAATAATAATTGGAATATTGTGTAAATTAGGTTATAGGAAATTTTTTCAAAACATTGTATCTCGAAAACAATATTGTTTTATGCATTGAATACACCCCTGAAATTGTTCACTTAACTCCCTACTTACTACTTAATTTGGTCACAGATTCAGAGACAAATTTAGCTGACACGTATTTTTAATTTTTGCCAAGTGGCTCCTTTATCGGACTTAAAGCCCCCTGATATTCGCTTATAAGAATAGTCTTTTTTATATATCAAAACCCTGTTATACGTTATAAGTGTTTTGGCTGGGGACCCCTTAAGACGCTTTTTCGTACGCCCCCCCTGTCTTTAGAGTCACAAAACTTTAGTTTTATATTTAATTTTTTTAAAAATTAGCTTGTAAGAAAGCCCATTTGATTTAGAAACTTTTTGTCTCTTAAAATTTTCCCATTTTTTGATTTTTTGATCGAATGTATATCAAGATTCGTATGAAATTCTTTCGTCCTAATTGTAGATGGAATTCGATCAAACTTTGCCATTTTTCTTAAAAACAGTGCATATTACTAAAAAATTTCAAAAGACGAAAAAGAGAAATTCCAATACACAACCATATTTTTGTGGATCGAAGTGGGCACACTAAAAGGCGTCTTAGGGGGGTCCCCAGCCAAAAACCGTTACACTATCAGATTCCACATGTCATAAAACCCTCGTACAACAGGGTTCTGGGAAAGAAAGAAAAAAACTATTGTTATGGGCTACTTTCAAGGGGCTGTAAATCCAAAAGCCCACTTCGCAAAAATACAAAATAAGTAGGTATCCCCTAAATTTGTCTCAAGAATCTGTGTCCAAATGTTGTTGCATTAATTTCGGTAAATTAATACTGGTTCAAGAAAAAAAATACTTATGTCCCCAGTAAAAATAGCATGCCCTGAAAAAAATAAAATAGTAATAACTCAAAACTAGTCAAGTTGGAATAGCTTTCCTTTGAAGATTAACAAAATTTAACCAAATTTCTAGACATTATTTATACTTTTCCGAGGGTTTGTGATGCCCTAATTTCAATACGACCTCAGAATTGATTCATCCACTCAGGTTTTTAAGAAATTCTAACCCAAAAGTAGAATATTGTTTTTCCACAACTCGTTATTCCATCTAAAAATACCACTCTTTCTCTTTAAAATCCTTTTTGAATTTTTTCAATATCTTTCCTCTTTAGAGAAATCCTTATTTATGATCGAAATGATTCAAATTTTTACCTAAACTAAACTTATAAATTTTAACTTAAGGTTTCTAGAAGTAATATAACCTTTAATATTAATAAAAAATGAGACTTTTAGGTTGACATTTTTTGAAAACCTGATGTGATGGAGCAATTTTGAGGACGAATTCTGATATGCTGATAGCAAAGTCAAAATTCCTGGTTTCTGTTTAAAAATATTGGAGACCTGTGTAATTTTTAATCTAGAATTATGAATTGGAAAAATAAATTACTAACAAGTTAAAATATAAGTTCGCTGGAAAAAGGCTTGTATCAATTTTCATGTATCAGATTATATTCAGGGTTTTGGGGGTGGTTAGTAAACCATTTTTTATAATTGACCGAAATCGTCTTATAAAAAAATGCCCTGTATGGCCACTTAATTTTTACTGTTTTCATCAAAATAGCAAATTTTGATCTTTCCACATAATTTATAAATAACATTAATCTAATCAAATCCTAGAATAAGTCTAATAATAATTATTGAAGTGTGTAAAGTTTAAACTGCTGAAATTTGATATCGTGTTATTTTGATAACTTGTCCTTTTTACTTTGATCATCAGCACTTATGCACATTCCTTATTAAAAATAAAATTTAATTGTTTTTAGCATTAATTTGCATCAGTTATAAGGAATTTATCATAATATGGATAACGGAATTTTAATTAAATTATAATTAATTTGTTTAGATAAAACGTTTGTATGTTAGATGGTTCATAACGTATATTATTTTCTAATTTATTTTTAATCGATGTTTTGGGTTTTAATTTTATTATAATATATGCAACGTGATTGGTCACATCTGGATAATGATATTTGTATGATAAGGTTTTCCAAATGTTTATTTTAATAAAACATATTGCAACAATTTTTGGTCATCATGAGTATACTTATTGACGAGTTGTGGCTTTATGCATGGCCATAGCATTTTAGTCACGGGTTGAAGTTAGCAACAGGTTTTTAGTCACAGGTTAGTTTTTTAAGTTAGTTGATACTTGTCAAATCTGTGGGTAAAAGGCATAAGGGGATAAGTCAAAAAAAGCAAATTTTTAATAGAGCCTTTAACGTATTCGCATTAATTCAGGAAACATATTTATGGTTAGCGGGTATACCCTTTTGTTAGCACATGTCATATGCTAACTAAAGCGTATACCCGCTAAACATAACTATATTTCCTGAATTAATGCGAACACGTTAAAAGATCTACTGAAAATTTGTTATCCCCCTATGCCTTTTACCCACAGAAATGTCATAAAATAAAGTGGCTTTCTTATAAAATAATACTAAATGTAAAAATTATTTTATTATCTGAATACAAAAGTATTAAATAGTTTCTCTATTGACGTTGAAAAGTTTATATATACATTGTACTGACCTTTTAACTTCCCCTTTAACTTTCACTGTAAAAAACTGCTTGTTTATAGGATTAAATGGTCCATTTTCAAGGTTTACATTTCGATTTACAAACAAAAACACATTTTCACTGGCGCGCCGGTTATAAAGATATTGTCTTATAGATGTCGCTCTATACAAATATTTAATTTAAATCATTTTTAAATAATATGACAAATACTTAATATTATTTAAAAATGATTTAATTTAATGCATATATGCAACTCGTTTATAAACACTCATTTAATTAAGCATTCGCGAGTTCGCTATTATGTGAACCTATATTAAACATTGTCGTAAAATTTTAAATATATTTTTAAATTTTTTTAATTTAATTAATAAATTAAATTTAATTTAACTGTATATTTATAAATATACAGTTAAATTAAATTTTGAAAATCAAATTTTTTTTCTTCCTGTCCAAAAATGTTGAATATGTGAAATAAGTTAAAAATGAATGTTGAAAAGTGTAAAGTTTGTTCTTATTCACTTAAATCTAACCCCATTGCTCACAACTACTTGTTTGATGGATCCAGTCTTTCTCGCGTTGTTTCTACAAAAGATCTAGGTATTGTTTTTGACCATAAACTCTCGTTTGTAAATCATATAGATAACATATGTAAGGGAGCATTAAAATCACTTGGCTTTATCATACGTAATTGCGGCTATTTTTCAAATACAGAAGCCCTTAAGTCTTTATACTTCTCCTTAGTATGCTCAATATTGGAGTATTGTTCTCTTATATTTTACCCCATTTACAATAATCATATCAACAAAATTGAAAAAGTACAAAGGCGGTTTTTTAATGGTATTTACCCCTCAAGGGGAATTGAACATGAACTTCTTTTAACAGAATTTAACATCATGTCTTTAAATAATAGGAGATTTTTAACAAGTCAGGTTTTTCTTTTTAAAATATTATATAATTTAGTTGATTCTCTGTTATTACTTTCCAAACTTAGTACCACGTTTAAATTCTAGACAAAATATTTTGTTTTATTGTTGTAATTTCAGAACCAATGT